TAACTTTGGGTTCAAGTTGAATTCCACGATTGGGATACTGACAAACTTTGGGTTCAAGTTTCATTCACTGATTGGGAGAATGACAAGCTTTGGGTTCAAGTTATATTCACTGTTTTGGATACTGACAAGCTTTGGGTTCAAGTTACATTCACTGTTTTGGATACTGACAAGCTTTAGGTTCAAGTTACATTCACTGTTTTGGATACTGACAAACTTTGGGTTCATGTTGCATTCATTCATTGGGAGAATGATAAGCTTTGGGTTCATGTTGCATTCATTGATTGGGAAAATTATAAGCTTTGGGTTCAAGTTACATTCACTGTTTTGGATACTGACAAACTTTGGGTTCATGTTGCATGCATTGATTGGGAGAATGATAAGCTTTGAGTTCAAGTTACATTCTTTGATTGGGAAAATGATAAGCTTTGGGATCAAGATTCAAAGCTTTGAGTTCAAGTTACATTCACTGATTGAGATACAAATAAGCTTTCACAATGATGATGATAAATTGCTACATTTTATAATTTTACCACCCTACCTTTTAAAAAAATTCAGCTCTATATTTGCCTTACTTTTTAGTCAAATTGTACTGGGAAGCCTTATTTACAGTAAACATTACTAATTATCACTGAATAAAATAATCAAAGCCTAACTTTTTACTTCTTTCTACATGGTATTAAGCAGGTAAATCCTATAACTGTGTAATCTCTGATAAGTTTACTTTATATGTAGGTAAAACTGTTTAGAGTTAATTACATTATATTCTGTTTTACATTCTGTCTGTTTTTCTTCAAACCCCAGATTTAGTGGCTATATACACACATCAGCTTTTCCAAACTATTTATGCACTAAGTTGGTTGTCAGTTTTTGTATTTGATGGTTAAGGGTTCCAAAAAAAATGAGCGACTTCACCCAATTTTTTGGGATCAGTTCTTTACACCAAGTGTTATAACAAACATAAGTTACTTAATTGTGGACCTCACCAGTAGTGAATAGTATGTAAACAAGTTGGGTTAAGAGCTTAACTCTTTCTATTATATAACACACAGACAAGATCCTATAATACCTAAGTAAAACAGAATATACTTTCTCAGAATTCAGATTAGACTTAAGTTATATGGCAAAGCTCTTAGTTAAGTGGCAAGCCTTTCTCTTTCAAAGTGCACCTATATCAGAATAGTAATGACCAACTGTTTATTAATACTTATTTCAAACTACAGTAATAAACAAATTTCAAAGTACTGTTAATGTTATTTGAACAGTACTGTAAATTATTATACAATTACTAGATTAATAAAGGTGGATACTCTATTTTTTTTTTAATTGCATTTCATTATTTGAGTGAAAATATCTGAGAGACTACCATTAGAGTGCAAAGACCATTAGGATTGGATAGTTGAAAAAACAGAAAAGTCACGTGGTTAGGTGAATTTTAATACATGCTATTTTGTACAGATTGGCAAGTCAAAGTTTGGAAACAGCACAATGAAACTTTGAAAAACCTCTGTGTTATTCCCACTTTGCAAGATGCTAGAGGTGGAACAATGATGTGGGATGTAATTTCACAGCACAAGGTGGGTCTCTTGGAATGGCCACATTATAATTGCAGATGTGAAAATCCTTGAGAATCAAGTTCATTCCCTTATAATCTACTTTCATACTCAAGTTTATTGGCATTTGTAAAACAATAACATCTTCCATTCTACCAATATTGATCAAGATTGATTTGAAAGGCATGAGAAGAAGTTTCAACATCTTTCCTGAACAAAACAAACCTATATCTCAATGCAGTTGAGCAGCTGTTGGATGTATTAGAAAGTTCTGTAAGAGTGTATACTTCTTTATCTTCAGCCAATATGGACTTGGAGACAATATTGCATGATGAATGAGTGAAATTTGAATACAATGTATTCCAAAAACTAATGGAGTTTATGCTATAATAGATTCAATAGTCTTCACACTATGAGAACAGTATTTCTAATTTTTTTGGCCTGGAAGTGTACAAAAGGTTCAGTGCATTACATTATTACAATCTGAATATGCAAATCAGCCCAAATCAAGTAACAATAACACCAAATGTAGTTACAGTGGAACGGAATTTTAAAAAACTACATTTTGACATTGGCATTTCATTGGAAGTGTGATTCCACTGAAAATTGATTGCTTTTGGGAGAGGTGTGTAACAGGCATTGCCAACACAAAATATTCATACACTCAGATCATAATGATGTATTTATGTTGGGGGATATCTGTTGTTGTTTAATGGCACTGGAAAATAAAGGAACATAGGTCAACCTGGGACATCCAGACGAACCAAAATAAGACCTGCAACAAGTCATACCTCAGCCATGTTGAGCTAAGTTGCAGCATCATAAAGCAGATGATAAAGGTCGATGTAAAAAGCCATTCATTTGCAACAGTACGCAACATAATTAAGAAGGACCTCTGTCTGTAAAAGTGAGACAAGTCACATGTACACAAATTGCTTTCATGATATACCTGTTTAACCATATTTTTGAAAGATGGGTTAAAAATACTTAATAATCAGCAGATGATTAGTGATCAGTAGAAAATAACTGATATTAAATGCCAAGTACTATTTGGTGACTTGAATGGTATTCTATGCAATAGGAAACATATCTGATAAAAGTTGGAAGATACAAAAGAATGGATCAATAACAATATAAGAAGTACCTTTTTGCCCTTTTTCCATAGGTGAAATAGTTATTCAATGGGAAAATAAGTAAATAAAACCTATCAATGACTATTTCTAAAAACATATTTTTATTTGAAACTTAAGCCACATGTTCAGATGTAAAAAATTTCTTGACTGAATAAATTTTAAAACTGAAAAAAAAACAAGAATAAAAAAAATTATGCTACAGTAAGTTTCGTATTTATTTTAAAATGTTGAAGTTAGTATCTAGACCATAAATATAAAAGTTAATTAGTCTACCCAACAATTGCAGGAGTAAGGTTTCAACATTAATAATGTATATTTCCAAGTGAAGGTAAGGTAAACTAGGTTACTAACCAATGTAATAGGTGAAGCATATGAAATCATTAAAATGCACACAAGCAGACTAACTTGAAATTGAGAATTAGACTAATTTCCACATTGACAGATAGCCAGCTATTAAATTGTTGTGATAGAACACATATTATAAAACATATTTCCTGAATATGAAATAATTACAGCAAGCACAAGTTAATACAACCTTAAAGACAGTTACAAATCAATGTGCTCTAGTAATATATTTAGATTAAAACCTTAATTTATAATACTTCAAATTCTGCAATTTTTAGAATTTTAACTAACATTTTAAGATATTTAATAGGCTATCTGTGCCCTGCCCACTACAAGGAATTGAAACCTGATTTTTAGCATCATAAGCCCTCATACTTACCAATGAACCACTAGGTACATTCTCTCTCTCTCTCTTTGTTTAATGACAAAATTGAGTGATCATATATTATGAAAATTTGTCATATTTTATATAAAGATACGGTTTCAATTAGATTAACCAAAATACTAAAAAAGTTAATACTTTTCTCCAGAAGTTAGGAATAACAAAATCAATTTGAAAGTATCAAAGTTGGAGGGTAAACTAATAACTAGCAAATCAGAAAAAAAAAAGCTATCAGTTTGGGTATACAATATTTTGATGAAAGACCAGAACATTTTATTAATTGCCACCAATAGGAGGATGAGTTAAACTGGTTAAGTATGAAACCTTTAAGGATGTAACAATATACAGAATTTTTAAACAGCTTGTTCTAAACCAAAACTTTCATGGTGACAGTGTGGTCTTTAGTATGCTTTGGTCTAACTGTCCACTGTACAAATATTATTACTTGCATCTGATACATTTTTTATGACTAGTAGTAATTTTTGTATGAGCAATTATTGAAAAAATCTTGAATAAAGCCCAAGAAAATTCACTTCCGTTTGTATTATTACTAAAGTGCTTTGTTTAGCTACAACCATTTAAGCAGTTACCACAGGAATTTAGTGAAGTAGGAATGGTACATAACTTTAAAGATAACTTTATAAATATTGTAAAATAAAACTCTTTACCTAAAATACTGACTGTAAAGCTCTCATAAATTTCATTAGACACTGTTATCTTCCCTTGATTCATTTGTATATTTTATACACAGAACTCTTCAAATGCAAATAAAATACAAAAAAAACTGAAGTATTCAAATATATTATACTGATTCTAATTTTGTCATGAATTTATTGTTAGTCCACCACTATACTAGACAAAAACAAGAAAAACTTTGGCTGATATTTTTAATAGAAAATAGTCAAATGTACATTATTTTGCAGACTTGGTTAGGGTAATCTCAGATTAGATTTGTGAAAGTTGATCTACAACAGTTCTGAAAATGTTTTCACAATAAAGAAATAAAAACTTGTACTTGTTTGAATCACTGCATCAAATTTTGATGATATACAACTAATGAAATTATGAGTATAGAAAGTTTTCAAGATATAAAAATAATTCTCATGATACAACTGACTGTTGAAAATTATTTTGAAAAAGCTTACTATTTGCTGGAACTTAGACTATTCTGGTATAATATCCCACAATTTTTTTCAACGTTTGTATTTTTTTAATCAGTATAAAGTTGACTTAATAAAATCTAAAGTTCTTATCTATATATAGAATAAAACAACAATTAATGAACATGACAGACAAACAAATATAAAAATAAAAAAGTCAAAGTGATAACAGTGATAAATATGAAATGTACTTTGATTGCAATAATTTTCTATAAACCCACAATAACTATGGGTAACTGTATATCAAACTCATACTCTGTTAGCAGCCAAAGGATGTTACATGGAATAAATGTAAGGAAACAATAAGGTTGTAATGGCTCTCATATTTAATGTTACATTTGAAGTCAACTAACTTTGATAACTAACTCACAACAAAAATCAAGTTGTAGGAAGACCAGAGTTTAAGTAAAAAATAATTATTCTAAAATTACTAATAATGTCATTAATTTTATGTAATTTTGGTATATAACAAAATATTTTAAAAATCTCTTGATGACAAGAACCATAAGATGTTAAAATCTGTTTTACCAAGAAGCAACTATTACTTAAAAGACATTCTAGTATATGTAAATTTTACAATATCTAAATAGCAATTAAATAATATCGGTTTTACTTAAAATGAAATACTATTCATCAAAAAAGGAAGTTAATAGATCAGAAAAAACTTTTTACTAATCGTGGAACAATTACAAATTTACATGCTGTCGCAAATGATTAACTTATTCTTTAGGTGAACTGCTCCTTGGCTTCTTTTTATTCTAATTCTAAACTTCATATTACATATGCCTGACTGAACTATGATGTTACACAATTGCGAAACCATCTTTCTATATGCCTATTTGATACCTCGGATGTATTTTAAAGTTTTTTTCATAACTTAACTTTTCTACTTTTCATATCTTTATTAATTTTCTTGGCCCACAAATGGTGAATTCTTTAAAAATAGGTACACAAGGTTATTTATTTTTTGTTATAACAAGCTTTCTTTGATAGTTCATCATCTTTATTACATACATACAAATGAAATACATGTACAACAAGAATACTGTGAGTCTTACATGAATCTTTTCCCAACATTCAGGATTCTATCTTTTTGCAAACAAAAAACACACTTCGATACTCGTGGAACATCATTGATCGAGGGTTCTGTGTGTATGGTGTTTTCAACCCGGTTTGTTCTTTCTGAAAATTTAATCCAGAGTAAGAAATTGTATAATAAACAATATATTTAACATTTAAATGATTCCAAGAAACAACTTTATAAATATACTGCTAAAAGTTAACAAAACACTAGTTACTGAACTATGGTACAAGCTATGATATACAGTGAAACCTCATTAATCTGAACTCATTTGTAATGAAATTCTTGCAAATTATTGAGGTATCCAGACAGTCAAATCACTCACTTTGAATCCAATGAACATTATTTAATAAGTTGAGTTATCAATCAATAAGTTTAAGGGTGCAACTTGTCAGTAATGCACATCTCCACAATGTTTATAACAAGTTTTAAAGTATATATTAGTATATACATATATCCCTACTGTGAAAGTCATCCTCAGTAAGACTGTTCTGAATGATACCCATAGTAAATGCAGGTGTTTTGTGGTCAGTAATTACCACCTAATTTTATGTTCTAATCACCCTCTACTTGACTCTCATACAGTTTCATAGGGATTACTGAATCATGTATTCATATGAAATTCATGTTTGGTTTTGGAATGTGAACATACAGACTACTGTTTAAATTTCCTGTTGTGGAGATTTGTCTGCATCAAAAACTGTCCAGAAATTTTGTTGTATAACAACTTAGAAAGGTTGATAATGTTTATTGTTTCCTGCAGAAGGGCTTAGGCCTGAAACGTTGAGTACAATAAGTAAAATTAGTAGTTGTTATTTAAATGTTTTTATTTTCGTCAGTTATCTTTTATCGTATAAATTGTCTTCTTTTCTGAGCCAGTAGTATACTTGTTAAACAGGTTAAGTTGCTGGTTTTCATTGAGATTTGCTTTATTAAACTGCATTTCTTACAGTATCAACATAACATATGAGGTGGTAGCTACCTTTTACCAACTGTACAGTTGGCTGGTATGAAGTATTAATAATAAAGTATGCTTCTACAGAGCTTTTATTCCGATCATATGTTTTTATTTTCTCTTTTCCAAGTAATTGGGGTCATCAGAGGTCAAATAAAATATAATGTCTATGGTGTTTCATGGAATTACAAAGAGCAACCAGTAATTATTCAACAAATTGGAATGAATTCCAGGATTTTCTTAAGAGAAGGAGTTTTACAACTTATCTATTGATTGAAAGTTAACATTTTCCTAAACTGAAAATGTATTTCTGATAAGTACTTACCCCTGTCTCACAAAAAGCTCTCTTGACTTGTACTGCCCTTTATCAGTGCAAAGTTTTGCTTGCAACTAACCATGTTACTCCCACTTATTACTGCATACTAACATGCAAAGGATCATGGTGCAACTCTCCAACAATAGGAGTGCAACAATAACCCTATAGGAACTAGTGCCCTCTCTAATCGTGTACATTAACCACTTTGAGATTGGTCATAACTAACCAAACCAATTCACACCGGAAGTGGGGAGGACAGGTGGGAGATGTGAGAGGAAATAAGTGTCTATTGGAAATATATTTTCAGTTTAGGAAAATGTTAATTTCCAATACAATATGTTATCTCCGCTCACAGAAAGGTAGAATCCCATACTGAACTGGTGGAGGGCCAGTGAGAAGACAATGCCCCTTTAGAAAGTGCCCAAAGGGAGACTATGAGGTGTCATAAGGAATTAAGAACAACACACTTGGCAACATTGGGAATTGTGTCGATCAGTCCGCAGTAGCAGGAGGATACCAGTCAAATACATGTGAGGACTTACGTGGCTGGACAATCTCCAACCAACACCTGATCTCTGGGAACCTACATCTGGAGGATGGTAGGAAGAAGGATGTCTTAGCCAGAGCATCCGGAATTGTACATAAGGTCCATGGTAGGAAGGGCTTCATGCTTTTGAAACCTGCAAAATGCCACCTCCTTACTCTCAAACTGAGCTGGTATTGTGCACACTCAGGAGAACAGACTTCCATGGTCCACCACCTCCACACCTAGGAACTGGAAAGTGGCAAGGACCCCCATATTCCACTAGAAGAAGGAGGGTAACAATGGACAGGACTGTAGCACGATACCCTATATTGGAAAGAAAAGTGATCATGTTGATGGAATGCATCATCCAACCCCTGGCTGAATCAGGAATTGTCCACAGTAGGATGAGCATCAAATGCCACTGATCACCAGAGGTGGGCAGTAATCTCTGCTTTATTTCTTTTAGTCCACTAGTGTACAGTCCGGAACGAACATATTTATGAAGCAAAAAACTGTGAGGTACACCTACAAGTAATCCAGCGGAACACCCATCTCAACAGTGGGCATAAAATGGCCTTGTGACATGTTATTTTGTCTCTTCTGGTACATTTTATATAGATGCATGAATAGTGTACTGGACGGAGTCGATCAACCAACACCCAGCAGCATCTGGAATGGTACATCAGGTCCACTGTAGGAAGAGTCTCAACATCACAGTCATCCATCATATTCACAAGTCGTACAATGCAGATGTAAGACTATGTATACCTGGTTAGGCAACACTTGCCACAAAGTGGTATCCAAATACATGATAAAGGCCCCTGCAAAGAAAATGAATGGAGTACTTACCACCACAAATAAACAATTACAGCACTGATGATTTCCCCCTAAGGAAAGATGGAAATGTGCAGCCAGGGACATGGTAAGGTGACGAATCTAATGATAAGAAAACAGTGAAAAAGGTAACAATCATCATGAGAAAGGTAAGAAAACACCAAGCAAATGAACTGGTGAATTCAACCCAAAGGGGTGAAGGGGAAATGTTACGGGAGGGGTGAGGATTTTACGGAAGAAACAAACAGACCTGGGAACCACGGAAGGGAGCAGTATGTGTCATATACCCTCGGAAGCCCTGACCTGACAAAGGAGGTGGTGGGATTGGAACATTTGAGAAGGGCAGGGGTGTAACATAGGAAATGAGAGTTAAGTACAGAACATATCTGAATAAAAAATCCAAAGGGAAAAAAGTCTGGACAAGTCTTCCAAAATGACAAATCATTAATTGGTATAATCAGGAGGGGGGGAGGCTGTCCAAATCCAAAACTAAAACATCGCTGAAAATCTTGTTAGGACAATCATCAATGTGTTCTGATTGTTACATGAAAGTGGTCAACTCCCGACAGGCTAGAGCCATCACTTCATTGGCCAAGAATCATGGTTTTGACCTGTTAGGCGTGGTCAGGAATTCCGTTGCTGCAGTAAGAGCAGTTGGTGTTGTGACCACCCAAAAATGCAAGTGCATAACTCCCCAAATTGAAAGAGAAGATAAAATAAATCATAACTCTCAAAGAAACAGAACAAAAACATAAATTAACTGAAGGAGAAATTCACGAAAGTAAAAATGTGTGGATAGGTTAATTAAACTGTGAGTGAAAAACACATCTAGTCAGTAGTACTGCCAATTGCGAAGTGGTTAACATGTGCATGATAAGAGAGGGCACTAGTTACAATAGGGGTAGTGTCGCACTCCTATTGGTGGAAGGTTGCTGCATGATCATTGGGATGTTAGTGTGTAGTAATAAGTGGGAATAACAAGGCTAGTGGTGAGTGAAAATTTGCACCAATAGAGGGCCATACAAGTCAAGAAAGCTTTTTGTGAGTGGAGGTAAGATATCATACCACAAGTCTGATGATAATTCCAAAAGAAAAAGATAACCAAAATATTTAACTGGTGCTTTCCTTGCTTTTCTGTAGAGTCTTTTTTGCTTCACATATGTAGAACAGGGTCCACACAGACTTTTCCATAAAAGAATCCAGAACCAAGGCTCAAATTTTCAGGACTCTTAAAATCGTATCATGCAGGATTAAACTTATATTTTCCTGGCATTTTTGTTAATCAGATATGCCCACCAATGGAAACTGGGAAATTGCGACAATCTCAAGCATCGTAAGGCATGAGATTCACAAAATGCAAACAAAGCTAATTTTGATAGCCAAGCATTTTTGTTTCATTTCTTGTATTAAGCCAATTATTTGTTGGGGAATTTTTAAATAAAACTAAAAATTAAGACTTTTCCAGGACCTTAACTTAAAAAAAGAATCAATTTTTCCAAAGTTCTTTTCCATGGGTTTTTCAGAATTTCAAGGACCTGCACAAATCATGGTTGAAAAACATATATTTCTATATTAGTTAATTGCCTGTATATAATAACTTCACTAAGAACATAGGTTAAAGATACTCTGACAAAATGAAGCAAAATTATTATTAAACACATCACTCAGTACAAAACCATTTGTTTTTAAAAATATTCTATAAACATAAAATATTTTGTTAGAGAAAAAGTGATTTTAACAGGTCTTTCAAAATCTCAGTTAAATTAATATTTAGAAAAATACATACCAGTATGTCAAAGTTATAAGAGAGAATGACTTTTTTCACATCCTCATAACTCGGTTCTATAGAGTTTTCATCGGGCAGGTCAGCATAGTGATACAGCAAAGGACCTAGATTAATCCAATAGCCTCCTCGTCTTAAAATATGGTAAATAGTTTCAATGTAAGAAACTATATTATTGGCTGTGTCAAGGAAGAAACATGTAACTATACAATCCCAGGTACCTGGAAGAAGAAACAAGTCACAATAACAAGATTTGGTGCTTACTTATAATAGAATATACACTTTTATTCTGCTGTACTAGAGCTAGCCAATTCAATCTATTACTTGGGCAGCAATTACATTAATTACTCACATAAACCAATTGATTAATTCAACTACAATTAAATTGGTTAATCAAAGTCAGTGTTTCCAATTATTACTATATTTGACTACACTGAACAACAAAAAATTTGTTAATGGAGAAAACTCAAGTTATTCATGGTAATTTGATGGTGCTGATTTCAAAAATGTAGTCAGAATTTGTCCATCACTGCTAGATTTTGATTTATTGTAATATCTTAATATTTTATCAGCACTATGCAAAATGCCATCCAATTACTCAGTACACTAGATTAATGCTGTGAAATTAAGTTTACTTGGACAGTTTAATGGGTAAAAGACATACATGTTTGATAACTTTAAACATTAACTGTATTTTATTAGTGTAAAATTCCAAATATATTGTTCATGTATGCTATTTGTTCTTGAAATAATTGTAGCGAGTTGCATAACTTTTGCTTCATTCCTATACTCACCTGCTCTGCCTGAGAACCACAAAACCCTCATGCTCAGTTTGATAGAACATTTGAGAAGTTCCTTGACTGAGCATACAAGGGGCAGAATCAGACACATATCTCTTAGTTGCCACTAACTTTCTTTACCTCACTCCGCACACAGTCAAAACAAAGTATGATCTTCTTCCTCATATTATACCCATATTATATAATTTTTTAAACTATAGTTCTGTAAACATAAATTTTATATTTTTTAGAAAATCATTTGAAATTCTGGCTGCCTCCAGTTCAAGTAAAGTCCAAAAGTGAAAAAATTCACAAATAGTTTCTGCTACACTTGTGGAAAATATATCACAGTTTCATGAAGGCAAAGCATCACACAGAAGGTAAAGGTAGCTTACTACCACTGTTTTAGGTGTAAAATTGGTGACCAAGAAAAACACTGGGCTCCACATGCGTGTTGTACAATTTACACATCTGACTTAACACAGTGGATGAATATGAAGAGAGCAAGTATGCCATTTGCAGCTCCCATGATGTGACCCCAAAGATCATCTAAGTGACTGTTATTTTTGCATGACTAATGTTTCTGGATATTCAGGCAAAACTAAATAGATTAAATATCTAGATATTGCATCTGCAATGAAACCAGTATCTCATGGGGATGGTCTTCCAGTGTGATATCCACCAGAGAATTTGGTAACAGAACAGTTATCTTGTAAAGAAGACAATGAATCATCTTCATCTAGTTATTCTATTCCTGTGGCACCTCAACATAAAATGATTCATCTGATCACACAAAAAGAGCTAAATGATCTGATTAATGATTTATCTCTATTACAGCAGCATGGGGAACTTCTTGGCTCTAATTAACGACAATAGAATTTATTAGTTCCAGGAATGAGTTTCAATTTACCGAAGTTGCCATCAAAGACTTGCTTCTCACTACAGCATGCAAGATATTTTGTTTCTGTACAATTGTTGATGCATTAATGGAAGAATTAGGTACTGAACATCATCGTCAAGAATGGAGACATTTTATGGACTCATCTGAAAGTTAGTCTGAAAACTGTACTTTTGTACAATGGGAACATTAAGTCATTGATTCCTGTTACTCATGCTGTTAACACGAAAGAAATTTATCAAAGCATACAGATTATACATTCTTAAATGTAATTTTTAATGAATAAATCAAGTTATTAAAGAAAAAGTTATTTTCATGATATATAAGAATATTTTGAATAAATCTATTATAACTCAAAAACTGGATGTTCTCAATAATTTTCAACATCATTAGAATCAACATCATCAAATTACTCAGAAACATTGAATTGTTTCTAGTAGCACTAGTATCTTGGGTTTTATTCCTCCCCCATTGCTATCAAATTGTTCCTTCCAAGTTTCTATGGACTAGGGAAAGCAAACAAGAAAGTGATGAATAAGTTCTGCAAGCAGAATAAAAAAAAAAAGACAACATATAACCAGAAGAACTGACATTGCCAGATCTTGCTAAGTGTTATAATAGCCAGATTGTTGGGGAGGGTATGTGAGCTGTCAAGCAGACTGAAAGAAACATTGCTGTTTCAATGACAACACACTAGGTAGTCTAAAGATCTGCTGTGAAAAAAGCATCATTGGTACCTACCTAGACAATACACTGTTAATATAAGTATCCCAGCTGCAAGGGACACACCAGCACAAAATTTTCATACAACTGATCAATCAGACCATCACAATAGTGCACTTGGGTTGAAAATACAGCCCACTGCTACTTAAAGTAAACAGTACTATCAAATTTTACCATACCTATTATCAAAGGATTACCACACTATTCAGAAATTAAAAAGCCAACATAAAGGTACACATTACTCACCCACCCTATTCTCCACTTAACCAAAAATTAATGTTAGGCTAAATAGGTGAAAAATAAAACCAATATGATGAGATTTTTGGCTGTCAATAATGTGGCTATCCCCACCTCTGCTGTCTTGAGCAATACTTTATAAGTGTGCTTGGCCAAAGTTACATATAAAACACTTGAGATTTTTTGTATAGCCAATGACTGCTCTTACACTCTGATTATGCAAATTAGGTTTTCATTGCCATATTGTGCACATCACATAAGCATTAAATAAAAACCCAAATATATGTTGCCTTGCCTAATATCCACCACACACTTATCCCATTGACTGCGACTGCTCTAAACATGAGTGGAATTTCTTCAAGACATACGCCGTATACAGCACACTCACAGTTAACTGCTGTAGGTGGACCATACCGTATACAGCAAATAAGCAGTCAATGGGTTAAAGGCTGCCATATACAGGCTTAGATAACTATATATTGTGGCTACAAATACACAAATATGGGTAAAATAAATACTTTTTGGCTAAAAAAACATTAAGATGAACTAGTCCCATTACAAGTTATCATATATATATAAATTTGCATAGTCATTGATTTGGATAAAAAAAAGACACTAAGCAAAACTAAGGATGAAAGACAATAACCTATTGCTGATGTACCTTAGGCACGATGAATGTAATGGTTAATGAAAGTGAGGTGATTTCCACATCTCAGCATAGAAAAAATTCTCTAGCAGAAACTTAAGAGCTACAATAAGGTGGCAAGTTTGAAGAGAAGAAATATCCATTGTAGATCCATAATTTGGTGGAAGTGATCATATACACATGAGTAAACTAAGCTATTTCATATGATAAGAAATAAGCAACTTCTAGCTGCTGCCTCCAGATGCAATTTTAATAAATGGTTCCAGTACATTCAACAAAGAGCTTTTATATGTGATACAGCAGTGTACTGCTCTTACTGGCCATAAAAAATCCTCATGATCAAAGCAATCACTTCTGAATGGTAAAATTGACAAAACAGATGAAGAAAAACTGACTTAACCTTGTGAACCTAAAAGTCTAAAAAATTTTGAGTCAAAGACTGCAAAAATCCAAGCAACATACCAGTTTGGAAGAAAATAGGAAATAAAACTCTCACTACAAGAAAAGTCTGAAACAATTCTGGCACAATAGCCAAGTAATGGGGATAATAAGTCCCACAAAAATTTAAAGACTGACCTAAGCAGCCTGATAATCCTGTAGCTCACAGGTACATAAATCTCTGTTGACAAACAGGAAGCAAAGGAAATCATGTAAATATGAGAAATTAAATGAGACTAGTTCACCTATGATAAAATTTCCACATTTGATTGGTAAATGATCAAAAACAATTCTCTGCAACAGTTAGCAATCCACTCAGTGAACTGTGAATAAAATCCAGCTTCTCAACCAATGGACTTGGGGAAAGCCAAGCACGATGATTTAACCAAGTATCATTTGTATGGGAAAATGAAGAAGCTGGGCTGATGCAGAAGATATTTCCCAAAGTGAAAGGGGAACTGGAGGATGCAAATATCAATATACACAATTCCTCAATATGGATCCCCCCCTCAAGCCTGGAATAAGACATTCACGAACAAATGAAGATCTGCGTGTGCAAATTACAAAGGCAAAAACCTTGTAGCTAAGCATATCAAAGTAAGTAGGTCCTTTATACACACAGCCCCTATGTCTAGGATAAGGTTTTCATAAGCAAATTTAAATATGAGCATGAAAGTTCCAAAGGAGAAACCTTGAATACTGTTGTTTGTGTCCAATAACTACTCATGGTTGGCAGAGTCTCTAGCTACAGAATCACTCAATGAGTTTGTCAATAGTAAATATTTCATTATGATGCTAAGTCCTAATTGACATTCATTTTACTGTACCCAATTGAATCAATGCAGCCACAGTTCTCTAAGTCCTCAATAAAGAAAGGTATTTGAAAATAAAGCATATGAATGGGAGTTTGAAAATGCTGGCAATATCCAATTTGGACATCCAGAAAACGTTTCATGGGTGGCTATATATATACAGTGAAGTTTATAATATTTAAATGCTTAAAAAACAATTTAAAGTAGAGAAATCCTGAACCAATCACAAATCTTCTGCATGTTTAGAATCATTGCTGACAACCTC